CTTTCTCGACTTTAAGCATTTTATTTTTCATTAAATCATTGTCAAATGTAGTGAGATCAAAGCCAGCTGAAAAAGCAAAAATCTGAACTTTACTGAATGTATTCTGATCTCATTTTATTCTTCCTGCTCCACAGCAAATTTATTGCCCACCAAAAAACCCCCAGTCCCTCCTAGTTTTTAAGACGTATGTATTCAGTAAGTAGATCAGTCAGTCCTCATAAATCAGATGAATTCTTTCAGCTTTAGGTTGGCAGCCTAGTGCAGCCATTCATTTGATATATGCAGTTTACAGCATATTAGGTATAGATGTATATGTTGACTGCCGTATTTCTTTTTTTTTTTTAAATTTTTTTTTAACAGTTTCCTGTTATTTGTACCTTTGAGGAAATATTCATTATTAGTAAAATCTGTAGAAGGTGTTTTGTTTTTCCTGTAGGGAAGGACACCTAAACAGGTTAAAACTGACAAAAAACCCAAAACAATGACGTGTTTGAGCTAAACTGATTGTCTGCCAGAAGTATGTGTTATCATTTAAGTACCTGTTAAATGTCCCAAACATGTGGAGTCCTCTGTTAATTTCAGCTTACTTTTGAATTGTCTTACAGTGTTGTCCTCTGAATTGTCGTCTCCCCCACCCTCCCTACTGTTACTACACTCAGCTGTGTCAGATTATTTACTGAAAATGGGAAATATTGTGGATTAAATGATGTCTCAAAGCATATGTTCAAACAAATGACAGCGATGCTGATAGGTGTCAGCCTTCCAGCTTGTTTGTAGCGCTCTTGTTGCATTGTGGTCAGTGTGATTGTTCTCTGAAGTGAATTTATTTTTATTGACTTTGAACAAAGGGACAAGAACTGGATGTGGTGGGATGCCTCTTTTTCTTTTTGGCTCTGATTTAGTGCTTTAGGGAGTGCCTTCAGAGTGGTGGGTTTTTGTACAGCTCTCCCTTTAACGAAAAGGTTACCTTTTCAGACAAGTATCAAAAGCACTACAAGGTGAAATAGATCCTTTCCCGTAGCTTTGGTTGTTTAGAACAGAACAGTTCATGTGAAAGTGGGCCGTTTAGCCGGATTAATCACAGACAGCCGATCACTGCATGGTAGTCGTAAAAAGCATCATTCTATAGGGGCTTTCTCAATAACCAGCAGGATTAAATTTGAGACAAAATATTACTGAACGATTCACAACTGACATGTTTTCATATGTTTGCTACTGCTTCCAGTCACTGGAATTGTAAAACAGGAATAGTTTTCTTGAGAAGCAAAATGGAGTTTTTACGTAAAATAAAGAGTTGTACGATTTATGTCTTGGTTTTTTGTTTTCCACGTGACCCTACATTTTTCCCACAAATCCTGCAGTGAGTTGCATCTACGTCATCCTTTGTTGCAGAAGTTCCTGTACACACTCACGGGCGCAGTCTGTAAGGTTGTATTTTTAAAGAACTTGCCTATTAGAACATTTAAAAAAAGGCCTTAACACGGTTTCTCATATTTGATACATGTTTGGAGTCTTTACATTATTATTGCACAGCAATTGGCATTATTAAGCAATAAATAGCAAAAATGGTTGACATAGCAAATACACACAACTCACATGCAGATTTGTTTTTCTTTGATACGATGGTCAATAAAAGATCAAATTTTTTAAAAAAAAATTCATGATAAAAGAATATTCACCCACTGCTCACCTGATTAGGTAGATATCAAATATATAGATCCTCTGGGCTGTTTCAGAAACCGCTGATCTAAAGTCAGATTCTGTCAGCTTGATAGGTTTGAGACATGACTTTCTTTGGTAATTGGGACATTTCAGTTAATCTTGCAATTAAAATTACTACTACAGCAGCATAAAGAATAAAACAAAGGATGATCTACAATTTAAACATTATTCCTGGGAAATCGAATGAGAGATGAAACATCTTTGCAAATTTACACAAGTCCAGTTTCCTTCTTTTTCAAGCTCTTGGGTCCAAAACGGCCTGAGACATCACACTTCCGCCTCCATGTTTGATAGTTGATGCCACACACAGTGGAACCATCCTTTCACCTACCCGACAGCGTACAAAGATCCTGAGTGATGAACTGAAGATTTCAAATTTTGATTCATTAGTCCCTAATACCTTCTTCCAGTCTTCAGTAGTCCGATGGTGGTGTTTCATGGCCCAGGCAAGCCTCTCTGCCTTATTCTGACCTCTTAGCAATGGCTCTCTTACTCCAACTCTTCCTGTCAAACCTGCAGCCTGCACAGTAGTTCTTGAGGACTGGAGTTTGAGACCCCTGTCCTACAATATTGGCCACTCCAACAATCAGAGGATTCCCTATGATCAAGCATTAAGCAACAGTGGGGAGAAAAAACTCCCTTGTAATAGGAAGAAATGTCCAGCAGAACCAGGCTCAGGAAGGGACAGCCATCTGCCATGACTGGTTGGGGTGGAGGGAGTGAAAATTTAAAAAAAAAAAAAAGCCAAGGTGATAAATATTGGAGCAAGTTGATTATTTTTTTGTTAAAATATTAAGCTGTTGTTATCAGGTTTAAAGGAGTATTGGATTTGCATTGTTTGCACTGTATTTCTGCTGTTGATTACCTTTTCCAACCCCTACTTGTGGTTTTGTCACTTTTGTCTGGGGTCAAAGAAGCAATGCTGGAGACTTGTGTCCCCCTCTGCTCCTCATTTTAATGCAGGGGGAACTCTCAGGCCAGGGTCAAAAAAGGGATGCTTGAGAACCTCCAAGGGTTTGATGCGCTGGTTTGCAAGCAAGGCCAACATCTGTTTAATCAGGCTGACCAATAAATCTGTGCCACTTTCAGGTCCTGTTCTAACTGTGATTACTCGTTTGAGGTCATCAAGATGCTGCAGTGTTATATGTCGAGTGTCCTTGGATTGGTATCCTGTCTCATACTGAAATTGCTCTTCTGTCTTAAATGTCCAGCGCTGTTTGCTGTGGTCGTTTTTTCTGAAATAATATTCTGTGGCCATGCTACAGTCTAGAATATAGTGTGGTGGCTGGCCCTCAGTGTCTGTGATGAATTTTAAAACATCATAATTCATTTTCCCAGGGTAGAGTGGCAACCCTGTAGCAAGCTCCACAGCTAGCCGGCTCAGAGGCCACATGTCAATTGCTTCATTATATGTAATATGAAGCATAACTTCGGGTGCCCTATACCAAATCGTCTGCACAATGGTACCAGGAATCGCTGCACACAGAGGACGTGCCTGCCATCTTGCCTGTTGCAAAATTTCAGGTTTGCTCTTGTTGATTTTAATAGCCACTGCTTGCTTGGTTTTTGTATTTTGACATTTGGTTACGAGACCAAAGGTGCCTTCTCCAAGGAAAGCTTCTACCTTGTAGTGGTTTCCCAAAATGCTCCCTTCAAATATTTCACATGACATGGTGAAATGTGTTTTTTTTGCTCTTAAATTGGTGAGAAACGTTTGAAAATGGTTTTGGTTGTTGTTGTAAAACTCTATCAAAACTTTTTCAATGTTTTCTTGGTTGCTGTCAGTTCAAGGTCCTTTTAAGCACTATAATATATCACATGTAGGTCCTATCAAGGAGCGTTCAAGCATTCTAAAGTGTGTCTTTGTTTTGTGTGTGTGTGTTACATATTTGGTAAACAAACAGTGGATCAGGCGTACCTAATAGTGATGTGTCGGTCGCGAACAAACGACTCGAGCCGGCTCCTTATTGGGAGTCTTGGTTTTTTTTCTTCTGTCTCTCAGCCTCTCTCTTCCACTTTTTTCTGCTTCACCTTGCACAGGAGCCTTGTGCTTTGCGCTGGGAAGAGGGGGGGAGGGGCGGTAGTTACACTCTCAGTAGCACAGGAACAGAGCAGGAGGGAGAGAGAGAGAAAGAGAGCCAGGGACAACAACGTCACATTAGAAAGGTATAGTAATCATCCACAACTATTTTCAGTTGCAGATGATAAAGGATTCAAAAAGTTTATTCATGCAGGCCCATATGACAGAGAATATGCATCTTCTTTTTGTTTTCATATTTTAATTTATATTTAATTGTGTTGTGGTTTGCAGTGTTTTGTTGTCACTTTCAATTTGTAAAAGGAAAAAGCTGAAAATTTAAATAGTTAAAAATTGAAATGTGAATAGTTGTTTTTTGTATTATATGATTTATTTATTATATTTTATGTGGAGTGAATAAATAAAAGTATATTTATGGTGGCCCCCTAGAGACAAAGCACATACAAACTCCAAAACACGTAAAAACTCCAAAACACTTAAAAACTCCATAGCACGTACAAACTCCAAGACATGTACAAAAGACAACAGAAGTGCTCCAGAAAGCTAGGCGCAGTGTTGAGCTTTTGTTACCTAGTGGCTACACAAGCCAGGAAGTACCAACGAACGGATTTGGTGTGTGGTAGTAACAGGTAAATGAACATTTTTTTTTTAAATTATTTGAATATATATGAGTGCTTGTGTATAAATACACAAACAATACACATATGCTTTCAATTGTGCAATTTAAGTGATCTAGGTAGCTCTGTTTTGGAAGGTCAGTTAACGCTAGAAATGTGTTTTGGAATTTGTAAGTGCTTTTTGGAGTTTTTACGTGTATGTGCTTTGTCTCTAGGGGCCACCGCATATATTTATATATAAATATATATAAATAAAACCACTTTTTTTTACATTAGTAATTACTTTTGTGCATAATTTTATATTATTGTTAATAATAAATTAATTAAAGCAACAAAACAACCTGAAGAGCCGGTTGGGAGCCGAAAAATCTGACTCTTTTTAGTGAGCCAAGCCGAAGAGCCGGAAATCCCATCACTAGTACCTAATCAAATGAGTGTATATGCAAATACACATACATGCACGTGAAAGACATCTTTATCAAGCTGAACACCTGACAGTTCCTCCCCAGTTTATTGTTAATCTATCAAAACCTGCAACAAACTTGGGGATTCCTAAGTCAAAATTTCAATTAATTTATTTAAAGTTCGACTTAAAAACTACAATTTTTAGGTTATCTAATTTTTTTTTTTTTTTTTAACAATGCGATAGTACGTCTTTTCAGTGGCGGAAACGAGCTTCTTTAATCTAGCGTTCAGCCTTCGATGCAATGGAGTGCTCCATCTTTCTGCACATATCATCTTTGGTCGGCTCCCGCCCCTGACGTTTCCCTCGGCCGCTGGGCTGTGCCTGCCTCCCCGTGTGCGAGTCGAACATAATACGTCCCACGAAGAAGAAGCTCTCCGGTCAGCTGGCGTCGTAAAAGCGAAATCGTTGTAGTAGAATTAAATTAAACATGTCGATTGTGTTTGTACCAAAGAAACTCAGAGGAAAAGCTACAGTCAACCAAGAGACGATACAGAGGGTAAGACACCAAGAACGTATATTTTAGAAGCTTTTACGTTGTTTTTATGACTCGATCGTTCTTGGATTAGCAATTAGCTTGCTAACAGGTTTATACGTTCACCCTTATTGGGGCGGGGGGAATTGGTAACCTTATCGCATTTGGCTGTTGACTTTTTACACGGACTTGTCCCGGTGACGGGTTTAGATAAAAATGTTAACAGTGGTTGTGGTAGGGCCTTATCTTAACATGGTTCAATACTCCGTGAAAACCTTTGTTATTTTTTGCTGTAAGCGGCTTTACGCTCTCTAAATTTCTCTCTGGTCCTGCCGGATTCTCTGCTTTGTTCCAGTTACTGGATGAAAACGATCAACTGATCAGATGCATTACAGAGTACATGCAGAAAGGACGCGCGGTCGAGTGTGTGCAGTAAGTTACACAAACCTCTCCTCCACTAATGCTGTTGATTGACTTCATAGTGTTGTTATTAATTTTTTTCTATTTTCCAACAGATACCAACAGATTCTGCATCGCAACATTGTCTACCTGGCAACCATAGCTGATGCAAGTCCCGACAGTGCAGCTTCCACATCAAATGTAAACACAGCCCAGACACAGAAGCAGCAGTAATAATGAGGATGGAGGTGGCTTGTTTCTAATGCTCTATTATTGTCTTCGTTTCTAGTGCACATCTAATGACACATCAGCTTCAGCAGCAGCTGTGAATGGGCACACAGAGGGCAGCTGATTGCAGTTTCTGTGACAGCTGCATTCTTCCTCAGAAGCATGTGATTGTGGTCATTTGACAGCATAATTGCACAGAAACTGCCAAGGTGGAGTTCACAAAACTTGGAGATATGGACAATGAAAGCAAAGGATCCACCTCCTGTTATTTGTCAGGAAAAAGGTCTCTAGCCTTGGCAGAAAATGCCCTCTCAAAGCACCCTGCCAGTCGAGAATGATCTCACAACAAAAAAACTGTTTTCAGTGACGTAAACCATTTCAGGGTCGAGCTGGATATCTGCGGACAAAATTGGAAACAAAATAAAATTTTATTTGCACTAGTCATGAGTGCTTTTTGTCTCTTCAGATTTTATATTGTATTGATGCACACTATTCCCCTGTTACGCCTGAATTATTCTGCAGAATCTGTACAACCTATAGTCAACCCAACACCTTCCTCAGCATTCATATCTGTGAAAGGTGTGTTAACAGCACTAGGTACTTAAATTTATAAGGAAGGGGCACATCAGGTGTAGGGTTTCACAAGGGCTTGCAGTTATAGTAAACCTGAGGTGTAGAGTTCACATCCACTTAAATGCTTTCAGCAGGAGCATCTTTTATCACTCTGGTTTAGAACACCCCAGCTGTTTTTCTTTCCTCTCTGAGGCCTTGAGCTACAACTTGAAAGCTACCACACCTACATATATCCAAGTTACATTATACAGAAACTAACACAGGCTACAGTATTCCCCCACAAAGTTGCAGTTTTGTTTCAGAGGATATCTTTGTTTGAGATGGTGAGATACCATTCAGAGGCAGAAAGTAGCCAATCCGAGAGTGTAATTCAGCTCTCCTTAATGCATCTCTGCGTGTAGCTATCTGCATGTTGTTCGTTTTGTTCTAAAAGCCATAAGACGCCACACAAAAGCATATTTAGGGTTTAAACTAACCTTAAATTTAAAAAAAAAAAGAAAGGCTTTTTTTGAACCACATCCAGAATTTGCAGTTTTTTAAAGGAATGTAACCCCCGCAAATTTTGAGGGTCAACTGTATCTCGATTAAGAAAGCTTCCTTGTCTTGTTTTGTGTCTTGGACATGCTGGAGAGATATCTTTTGCCTGGCTTAGGAATGGCTGTGTGTTCTCCCCATTTGGCGCTGGAGCACACAGCTGTGAAGGAGGAGGTCTGTTTAGACTGCAGTCCCTGTAATCCAGGCCCAGATAAAAAGCAGACGATAGGTGAAGTAAGCGGGAGGAAAAAAATGAAAACCAGCAAGAGACTTATGTTTAAAAAAAAAAACAACAAAATTTAAAAAAACAACAGCATTTTGAATTGCTAGTTATTTTTATTTATTTTTTGCATTGCTGGTACACTTGGAAAGATTCAGTTGCCAGCTCAAGAGAACAATAAGCAACATAAGCCAAGCAGCCCCCCTTCATATCTTCTATCAGGGCAACATGTTTTTATTATTATTTTTCTCTTTTTTTGTGTTTTTTTTAGAAGCCACTAGTAAACCATTTGACACAGCTGAGAAGCTAACAGTTACAGTCCAAGGTCTGTACTGATGTCTTAAAAAAGGCTGCAACAGTTAGGGAGATAACACAGACAAAAAGCAACAAACCCTATATCTTGATTGTGCAAAGCACATTAACTATAAAAAGATATATATTTATATGTATATACAGCAAACAATTCTCTGTAAACATGTTAAGTATGTTAGTTTTCTGAAAACATGGTGTCATTTCATAAATACAGGCAACATTGGCATCCGCAAACATCACAAAAAGATAACATTCTGGGCTTTTAAATACAGCCCACTGCCATAGGAACGGAGGAAACAAGGGCTTGAAAAAACAAAACAACAACAACAAAAAACCCACCCTCGTTACACAATGTTTTAGTGTTTAGCATGGCGTATTTGGTAACCTTTATAGATCGATGCTGTAGTTAAACTCTGTAGGAAAAACATGTGCTTTTTTCACATATTGGGAGGTGGAAAATAATGTTTTAGGTAATATGTCTGCAGGAATACTAACATACAGTATGGTATAACATGTAAGAAAATACAAAAATAAGATTAATACTGTCAATAATTGTACACAAAAAATATTGTGTTATTAAACAAAGAAGAAACGTTAGGTTTATGGGAGTTAGTGTCAATCTGGAGCCAACAACTGCCAATTAGAGAAGAGGAAATGAAGATGTTCCCTAATGCTCACATCTAGTAGGGTGTTTAACTTCATGTTGATCAATAATCTCAGACTGCCTCTCATCTCTTCAGCACCATTCGTCTTCCGAACAACGCTTTGGTTGGAAATAATATTCTGCAAGTGCTATCGATACCAACATGGCACATAGTTACTGCTATAACTCTTAACTCTGGTCAGTTGTTGAAAAAGTAGTGTATTTCTCTCAAATTACACCTCTGCAGTGACTTACTATATTTATGCTGAGCCTGCTCAAAGCCTCTTAATAAAAAGTACTAAATATTTATATTTCAACTTCACTATTTTACAAGCTATGAAACAGTAGATGGTAGCTGTATTCTGGGTCATCTTGCATGAGATTTGGCAGTTACAGCTATGTAGACACAGTATATTTATTACGGGCAAAATGAGAGCATTTTAAGCCCCTGCCTCCTTGTAATCCCCTCCTCTACACACACACACACACACACTCACACTTTTAGCTGCAGAAGCAAGTGGGTGACGGCTTTGCACGTCTCCAGCTCTTGTCTGAGGAAATTTCTGCTCGACAGACAGAGAAACGACCACCTGACTAACTGCTGCCAGCACGACATGCGCACCTTTCATGGTTAAAACATGGCAGTTTGAAAAACTTCAAAATACATCTTTTTCTGATGGGGATGTTTGACATGGAAAAATATAGATACAAAAAAATGTCGAGCCAGTGTGTATACTTTACGTTGCCTGTGAGGCTTTTGAAATTTTCCAATTCGCTGGGTGTGGAGTTTAATGGCTGTAGCTCGGCCCACTCAGTGGCTCATGTAACAGAGCTACGGGTCCTCTGTGGCACTTCACCGTGGACTCGTTAGACATTAGATCGGGATCAGTACTGGTGAAGGTAGGAGGGTCTGTGCTCATGCTTGACGGGGAAGGATTTAAAGCCCTTGGTCATCGGTTTATGTTGCTGCTGTTGCTGCTGCTGCTGCTGCTGGGTGAACGGAAAACCAGAGGAGATGCCGGTGGAGGGGGAGCAGTCGCTGGCAGTAGACCACACGGGAGACTGGAGCATTGGCATGGAGTCGCCCCACTGGGAAGAAGGAGGGATGTTCATCTGGTACAAGGAAGAGCTGGGATTGGGCATGGTGTTGGTGTGGGTGGAGTGTTGCCACGGTGCTTTGGGAGGCCAAGTTTTAGTTTTGCTGTCCTGTGGAGGAGGCCGGAACATGACGAGTCAACATGCAATCAAAAATAGTAGAAATGGTTAAAGGCGTTTTTGTAATCATCTTCTGCAAACTGTTTCTAAACCTTCCCCACCAGGGGGCAGCATTTCACCAGTGCTCCTGCTCTTTTAATTTACAGCCCTACCCCAATCTCCTCAAGAGGTTTTGGCTTTTCCTAGACTGTAATTTTTCTCTCAACAGCCATCTTTTAATGTATGTGTGTAAAACACGGATGTAGCTTCTGGGTTTGAGAATGAAGAGGAAGTGAACGTGACTTAATCTGACATTTGTGACTTCAGTATTTTCCTGGTGACTTTATAATCTCAATCACTACTTTCAGATCATATTAAACAGAATATTAGGCTCATTTTGTAAATCCAGGTAATTCCAAGAGTCAGAAAGGAGGATTTCATGGGAATGTTCACAGCAGTCTATTATGCACTTCTGGAGCCAATTCCTACCCTTGCTTGAAAACGCTTCATAACGGGACTTCCCTAACCAATCCATGATGTCACGGTGGCTACATCCACTGTGTGCTACCATTAATGACCTGCCTGGTTATACGGATGTTACACCGACTCATTGCAGAATCCTGTGGTACAAACAGGTATTGCATAAAAGTATGATCTGGGTGTAGTTCAGCTGATACCTAGACATTTAGGACTTATAGCAGCTGTTTGTTCACATTCGTTTGACACATTTATTATTTTGGGGGAGTTCCTGAACCATTCTTAAACACAGGAATCTATAATTAGTCCAGCGTAAAATAAAATGAAGTGTGACATTTCACTGGCACAGAGGGGTTCAAACTTTACCTGGCTATCGTCGCCGATGTGATGGAGAGGTGGTGAAGGCAGAGTGCACACCTCAGGCTCACCACAACTGTGTTTCCTGAGGACAGAGAAATCTACACTGAACATACTCACAAAGAGTATCTGATGAATGTTAAACTGCAGCAGATATTTTTACTGAGATAAACACGATGACCTACGGAGCCACGCAAGGGACATGGGAGAAAAACAAATTAAGATGAGCTTTTGCAAACAAAAGTTTTGCGAGATCTCGCAAAATAGACTGCATACTTTGCAGGTCACATTTGAAGGCCGAGTCAGTGTATCCTTCGTAACCCAACCTATCCCAGAATTCATAGCGCGGCCCAGCCAATTCGTTTCCAACAATGGCGGCAGCTACTTAGTTTTAATATTACGCTTTGTGGGTCACAAAATAAACTTTGAAGATATTTTGAGGCGTGAATGTAGCTGTGTAAACGTCAAATATCTGCTCGGTTTATCATGACATCACATATTTGCAAAAGTGCTCCGACATTTTAGGAGACGTCTGTTACCCACCATCTCGAAGCTAACGGGAGGTCGAGGCTCACTACAGTCGGGGGGAACACCGCACTCCCGGCACATCGTGCCTTGACCTCCCGGTCAGCTTCAAGCTGGCGGCCTCTGAAGAATGCGGCCAAAACTTTTGCAAGATCTTGCAAAACTTCAGCTTTATTTTTTCTTCTCCCATGTCCCTTGCGGGGCTCCATAAGGACCAAACCAGGAAGACAGAACAAGATAAACACCACAAGTGGATGACTTTCAGACTTACCGCCTTTGTTTAACTGCAGCTACCAGGTCTGGCCCAGAAAACATGGAGAACAGACTGTCACCATTGGCTGAAGATGTCTCGTCACTAGAGCTGGCCGAGTCCCCCTGATTGGCTGACCAAGCACTGTTTACAGCATCACTGTGGGCACAACCAGAGAAGGTGTTAGCAATTTTTCTATTAGTTACTAAAAACTGTGTATAACAAAACCAACAAAATTAGACAACTTAAACATATGAATTTAAAGCCCAGTATCTCTCGGCCTTTATTCAAAGCAAAAGCTGCATAAAAGTGATACATTTTTGCATAGGGTTTAAAAGTGAGATCGCATAACTGC